ATATACGAAATAGAGTGAATACATCTCATTACACTGATTTACTGGTAGCCTCGAAACCCTACTCAAAAAAATGAGTAGTTCGAACTAAAAATGTCACTATTATCATTTAGCTCGTTTCGTAATTTATTAAAATAGGTTAACAAATGTAGATAATTGATGATAATGATCCAAGAAGAAAGGAATAAGGAATAAAGTCAAAACATATAAAAAAAAAGAAAAGTTGGGTTTCGAGAAGTCTCTTGTTTGATAATTGTTGAGCTTACTTCCATTTCGAGTAAAAGTGTTGGGTGAAGAGATTCGAAGGTCGGTTCCACCAAAATACGACGGCGGATTCCTCTTGACCAGGTGTCGATTGGCTTTAATGGAAGATTTATTCTGACGCTGTTTCCGAGGTAATATCCTTCGATTCCGTTCAAAAGTTGCTAAGCTTTCGTCCGTCATATGAACATCGTCAGAGCAAGGTATCATAGTCACAACAAAGTTGAAACTAACAAGTCACGAAAACCCACCGGCAAAAGTAGTCCTTCATATGACGGACGAAAGCTTAGCACCTTTTCACCGGAACTGAAGAAGATTGCCTCGGAAACAGCGTCAGCATGAATCTTCCAATAAAGCCAATTGATAGATGGTCAAGAGGAATCCGCCGTCATATTCTGGTGGAACCAACCTTCGAATCTCTTCACCAAACACTTTCACTGGAAATAGAAGTACGCTCAACAAAACATATAGGATCTATTGGAATGGAATTGCAATTTCTCTATAAGAAATCTTGTATTTTGAAATTTTACCTATACATTTTGATCAACAAATGCGTTGAAAATGTAGAAAAAAGATTTTATAGCCCTGAAACACATCAGATATGACAAAAACGAATCAATATTTGTTCAAAAACAGTCAACCAATTTCAGATAGTGGTTGGAACAACATATTTACAAGATAAATGGCTTTTTTAGATCAACGTGTAATTCTTCAAATGAGGGAAACATAATATTTTATTTTTTTTAACCTGATATTAGATGCATCTTTAAAAGAATATCCAAACGGTTAAAGTATTATAAATGATTTTGACATAGATTATTGATAAAATAGAAACATGGAAAAAAACCTTAGGCTAATTGTACTATCAAATTAAACCAATAATTTAAGGAAAATTGAAATTTCGAAAATGAACTGTAACCGTTCGTAAGTGAAACACGTACAAGGTACTGAAAACGTTGAAAAGCGACGTAAAAATAAAGCCGATTGTAAACATTGATTTCATTTTAACCTAAAATAAGGGTGAAAATAATGTTTACCATGGATAGATCCCGATTGTAATTTTTTAGGCGCTCTTCCTGCTTTTCTAAAAGAATAATAAAATGCATGAAGTACCTATTCGCTTTTTATATATTTTGTCAACAGTTGTATCACCAGTTGTGTCTCTTTGCTTCTCCACTAAAGATTATCTAATGGTTTAACTTACATCGTTTGCTTTGCTTATCAACTTCTGCCTTTAATTTTTTATATTTTTCGGTGCGATAAACAAGAAGCCAAGTAAGACCTAAAGCATAGAGATATAAGCCACGGACCTTCACCAAGAAACGCCGTGAACAATGATATGCAAACTATCGCCAAGGCGTCTTGAAGCATGATTACTGCGTTCTAAATAAAGCGCACAACTCTTATAAAAGCAAAAATGTTATAACTGTGCAAATTAAACAATATTTATTTTATTATTAAAAATTGTTTACTAATTGGATATACTTTAACAATTATTTATCGTATGATGCTTCGAATATTCGCCTCTGATCGTGATTTGTATTCCTCCCTGGCAGAGTACGTTAGGTCAGTATTGCTAGAAAATTCCGGTCGTAGTGTTGTTACAATTGGTTTATCCGGTTTGCCCTGTATTATGATTATTAACTAGGAGGTAGTCTTTGCGAAAAACTTTCTATCGAACTATGTTCCTTGAAGTCAATAAACTGGACATGTGTCCATTTCTTCTACTGTGACGAGCGATTAGTTCATTTTGAGTCTAACGAATCTACTCATGGCCAGTACCAGAGGCACTTATACTCAAAAATCTGCATTCCCCCGGAAAACATCCACGCCATTAAGCCGTCCCTTCCAGGTATTATGTTTTAATTCTTATTGGGTCTAGTTAAGGAAGCGGCATCACATTATCAAAGTGAGTTACTCAACTTTTTTGGTTCAGATCGCGGCATTCCATCCTTTGACATTCTTATACTTGGCATCGGCCCCGATGGTCATACTTGCTCATTATTCCCAAATCACCCGCTGCTTGGGGTACGGTCGCATTTTACATGTTTTTTCTAGGTCGATGAGTTGATAGTGGCTTCATTAACGGATAGTCCAAAGCCGCCCCCCGAAAGGGTAACGCTCACCCTTCCTATCATTAATAGAGCGAAGCGCGTAGCTTTTGTTGCTACCGGCGAAGCGAAGTCTGAGGCGGTACATGTAAGCATTTGGTAGTCAATCTATAACCACTTTTAGCATATTCATAGTGAAAGCGCTAGCATAAACTATCCAGCTAGTTTGGTACGTCCATTCGATGGTGAGCTATTATGGTTCCTGGACGGTGCTGCATCATCCAAATTGCACCTGTAATTGAAAAACACGAACTACTCAGCACATCCACGTCCCATCCCGAGTTCATCTAATTACTTACTTATAAAACGGAAATTGGTTTAATAGTTTTATAAATAAAGCAAATATCAGCTCAAATATATAGTGAAAAATGGATTAGAATGTACACTTGGGTCTATACAGATTAAGTGAGTGGCGATGTGACATGTAAGGGTTGTGCGATTGGCCCAGGCGGGATATTTACATACAGATAAAAACTAATTGGATTGCATTATATTGCATAAGTTGCGCTGACCAAGTCAAGCTCGGCTTTCTGTCCTCGAAGCACTACTAACAATAGGGTTAGAGAGTGGGGTTGAAGAACTGCTGGCGTGGGAAAGCTTATCAGATAAGTCTGCAGAGTTGGGAGCAAATGTGTTAGGCGTTGACTGATTATGCCTTGGGATAATGACAGAAGACGGTGGTTCTGACGAAGAGACTCCGGACGCGTTGACTCCCGTGCGGATACTAAATGGAGACAATCCTCTGTTGGCAAGCAAAGCAGCAGTCTGTTCCTCGAGTTGTTGGCGGGCCTTAAGGCGTCTGGCACGGCTACTCCTCTGATCTAAGTCCTTAAGTAGCTGTTTTGCCATTCTCCACGAGTCCAGGATCATGTGCATGCGTTGCTGGAGGCACTAAAAAGAGATGAATTTTGACATCATTAGTAAGTGTTAATTGTGTAAACATTTTGAACACTTTCTATAAAAAGATAACTATCGGAGAAGCGCAACGGATTTTCTCTTAAATCAACTAAGGAATTAATTACGAATGACGCGTAAATGACCCAACAACGCGAGCCGCATTGCAACCATGCTTTTGTTTAATTAAAGAAATGAAGACCAAGATGTTTTGGCCTCTGGTGTGGTCGCAGTCTCCTTTCAATTTATAGAAGTGTGTTGACCTCGTCGTGACTTGGTCTTGTTTTCAGGGAGCCTATGTAGAACGCACTCAGTCCGAAGTCGTCTGCCATAGTAGTTGTCATGATTCCCAGCATCTGACAGTGGACTTGATACATTCTC